TGTCTTTGGAAAGTCTTAATATCGACGTGTGTTGTCTATCCGAGACCCGTATTCAAGACTCTGGCGAAGTACTACAAATTCGATCTCCATCTGTCGCTCCGAAAAGCTTGTTTTACGTGCGCTTATCCGGGGACCCTGTGGCATCTTCGTCTGGTCTTGCTGGCGTTGGTGTCGCACTAAGCGCTAGAGCTGAGGCGGCACTAGTCGATTGGATCCCCATTAACAGTCGGTTATGTGCTGTTAGATTAGAAAGTTCCATCAAAGTGAGAAGAAATCGGCGTGAGAAACGATGTCTTTTCGTCATCTCCGCCTATGCCCCGACAGATTGCAGCCCGGATGCAATCAAGGATGAGTTTTACCACCAGTTATCAGTTCTTCTCCAGAAAGTGCGTTCGACAGATATTGTAGTACTAGCCGGAGACTTGAATGCTCAGGTCGGGCGTCTAGGCACAGAAGAGAGTCGTTTAGGTGGCCGATGGGGACTCGTTGGTCGCAGGTCAGATAACGGGGACCGTCTACTGCAACTTTGCACAGACCACAACCTGTTTCTGGCTAGCACTAACTTTCGGCACAGTCATCGCCGATGTGCCACCTGGCGTCCTCCCTCTGCATCTCAAGCCTGGACTCAGATTGATCACATCGCGATCAGCTACCGCTGGCGTGGTTGTGTACAAGACTGCCGCTCCTTTTGGAGTACCTATCTGGACTCTGACCATGCCTTGGTCTGCGCCAATCTTGCCTTACTTTTCAGTGGACAACGAAGTGAACGCCATCAACGGATTGATGTTAGCAAGCTGGTTGCAACTTCTGTTGCAAGTAAGTATCGAACCGAGCTAGCCTCTAGGCTAGCTACCACTCCACCGAAAAGTATAGATGAGCATTGGTTGCAATTGCATGACGCCATGAAAATGGCGGGAACAGTCAGTTGTGGGTTTGCGAAACGTCCCGCTTTTAAGCACTGGGTTTCTTCTGGTTCCTTACAACTCATTGAAGCCCGTCGGTCTACTCCGGGTGACCGTGAGTTTGACCATAAACGAAGGATGTTACGTAAGGAAATTGGGCAAAGCTTGCGTAAGGACCGAGAAGCCTGGTGGTCGATGCGTGCTAATGAGCTGGAAGCAGCAGCTGCATCTGGTAACTACCGGAAGCTCTTCCAGCTCATCCGAGCCACTGGCAGCAAGAAGTCTGGTGTGAGTGAAACAATCTGCGAGGATGATGGGATGCCAATCACTAACATCCATCGACGTCTTGGACGATGGGCAGAATTTTTCGAAGGGCAGTTCAACTGGCCTGCTGCTCCGGCAACATCGGTCAGACTGTCCTGCCCTCCATGGCCGGTGACGACTGATCCACCAAATGAGGAGGAAGTCCGCAAGGAACTCCAACTCTTGAAGCGTTACAAATCACCTGGCCCAGATGACTTACCTCCGGCTCTTTTTAAAGATGGTGGTGACTTTTTGACTAAGGAATTGACGACGTTGTTTACAAAGGTTTGGGAACTAGAGTGTGTACCAACGTCATGGAATGAGTCGATAGTTGTCCCTATCTTTAAAAAGGGTTCACGTCGTTCTTGTAACAACTATCGGGGGATAAGTTTACTTCCGATTGCGTCCAAGCTATTGGCTTCCGTCATTCTTCGTAGGTTGTTCAAAACCCGAGAAAGATTGACTCGCGAGGAGCAGGCTGGGTTTCGTTCTGGTCGAGGATGTATTGATCATATCTTCACCCTCCGCCAAATGTTAGAACACCGCCATACTTTTCAAAGGCCAACAATCGTAGTGTTTCTTGACATCAGGGCTGCCTTCGATTCGTTGGACAGGACTGTTCTCTGGGATTGTCTATTGAAGAAGGGTGTGCCTGAGAAGTTTATTAACATCCTGAAAGCCCTATATAAAAACACCTCAGGCAGAGTGAGGGCATACAACCACCTCTCTCCATTGTTCCATTCGAGCAGTGGGGTTAGGCAGGGTTGCCCAATCTCACCATTCCTCTTCAACTTTGCCATCGATGACATTCTGGAAACAGCTCTGATGAATGTAAGTAATGGTGGTGTGGATCTGTTGCCTGGAGAAAGACTTCTCGACCTTGAGTATGCGGACGATATTGTCTTACTGTGCGATAATGCCCAAGGCATGCAATCCGCACTTAATCAGTTGGCAATCAGTGTCCGTAGGTATGGTATGTGCTTTGCACCTTCGAAGTGCAAAGTACTTCTACAAGACTGGCAGGATTCTAATCCTGTACTCACCCTGGACGGTGAGCAGATAGACGTAGTTGAGAAGTTCGTGTATCTGGGTAGCTGCATAAGTGCTGGTGGGGGTGTGAGTGATGAGATCAATGCACGAATAGTGAAAGCCAGAGCGGCTTATGCCAATCTGGGCCACCTTTGGCGCCTTCGTGATGTTAGTCTGGCTGTAAAAGGTCGGATCTACAACGCGTCGGTGAGAGCAGTTTTGCTCTATGCTTGTGAAACCTGGCCTCTCCGAGTTGAGGACGTTAGACGACTCTCTGTGTTCGATCATCGCTGTCTCCGAAGGATTGCTGACATTCAGTGGCAACACCATGTCAGTAATGCAGAGGTTCGGCATCGTGTGTTCGGGCACAGAGATGATAATTCAATTGGTGTCACCATCTTGAAACACCGACTTCGGTGGCTTGGACATGTTCTCCGAATGTCGTCCCAGAGAATTCCACGTCGTGCATTATTTGCCGACTCTGGGACTGGTTGGAAGAAGCGGAGAGGTGGTCAGTGCATGACATGGTGTCGTGGTATGAAAGAAAGCTGCAAAGGACTGGCTTGTGTTGGTCCTTCACGACTCCCTGGTTGGGGTCCGAGAGATGGTGCTACACAGTGGCTAGAGACGTTATCAGATATGGCTCAGAATAGAAGCCAGTGGCGATCCTGCTGTAACCTTCTTTTACTTTCTTCATAAAAAGTGGTTGTGTCTCCTTTACCTGAAAGATTTCTTCTGATTGTACCTTTCCGTTCCGTCGTTACTACCACACTACCTTACTCCAATCTCTTCGTCATTGTTCTCTTTTTCTTTTGCGCTCCTTAGTTTTTTTTTTCTACTTCTCTTCGAATTCTCATTGTTTTGTGTGGCGCATATATATTGGCGCTCTCTTGTACCAATATTTATGTGTTCAAATAATAAATAATAATAATATTGTTCTCCAGATATTTACATCATCCACAAACAATAATGTCGACAACTCAAGCAAAAACGGTAATTCAATAACGTATAGAAGGGAAAGTAGAGGGCCTAAGATGGTGCCTTGAGGTACACCACCTTTGACCAACTTTCATCCGGATAGCATTCCATTGACACTCTCTTTCTATGGTCACATAAGAAGTTACTTATCCATTCTTGTACAGCATTTACCATTCCGAAGCTCAAGAGCTTCTGCATAAGATCTAAGTGTGAAACCTTGCCAAACGCTTTGCTAAAATCTATGGATATCACATCGACAAACAGACCGTTGTCTAGGGTCGTTGTTTAATCCTCTTTCGTAATAAGTCAGTTATTCAAGTATGAACGCTCGTTGCGAAACCCATGTTGGTCGGGAGTTAACAGATTGTGTGAATCTATGTGACTTACTTCCTTGAACCGAAATATCTTTTCAAGTAACTTATTGACTATGCTGGTAGTTAGATACGATTTGTCTCTGACCATCCTTAAATATGGGACTGATCAAAGTGTCTTTCCAATCTCTAGGGAGTTGAGCGAGTGAAAGTTGCATGTTGAAGAGCGTCAATGGCGCTCTTGAAATAATTTCTGCAAGAGATTACAGCAGTCGTGGATGTAGCGCATCACAGCTCGGTATCTTACAAAGTTCGAGATTAGCTACCAATGAGAGAACAGTTTCCTCAGTCACATGTGCAGATCTTATAGCTGATATCTGAGCGGTGTTACAAGAACAAGTTTTTGAAACAATACGCGTAGAGTTGACTCCACTAAAATATTCTAAGTCTTAAACTTTGCCCGATCTGATTCAGCTAGTAAATCTGAATTTCCGTGTAAAGGTGACGGGAGAATACCATCACTACGTTTCACCCGCCGTTTAACACACGAAAACAATGGTTTCGAACAAGTACGGCAATATGCCAACTGTCGTTCATAAGTAGTACGGAATTTACATGTATTCCAGATTGTTTTCTATTCACACATAAATGTGTGTCCTGTTGACAAGAATGAGTCCCAGAAGTATTTCATACGCTTCAACAGTTTCTGGGTTTCTTCTTTAGTCAATGTGTTCGACGTCACTACTATAGACCTATAAAGTTACTTATTCTCGGGACCTATGCACCACAACTGGCTTCTTAGTCTTCGCTTAATGATACTACAGACAAGCCCTTCATTAGCTTTATCCGAACAAACCACTGACCTGTTTGTAGGACTGTCAGTTGATCCAATAAAGATTATATGGAATATTCAAAGTCGAAAATGATCAGTACCAAGATTGGTAATTACACACCGGCAGTAATGAGTAAACTTTAAACAGCAAGTACTCTGACTCCTATGCCACTTGCTGATAGTAACGCAGACGAACTACACGACAAGTTATTTGTAACAGCAACCGTAGTTCACATTGCTTGTATAAAAATAGTAACAATGGTACTAACGTACTAGATACCTTCCATAACCAAAACACGACAAGTCTATCAAGCAATATTCTTCTAGTATAAAACCAACGATGAGACAGACAAAAAGGAAAAGAGCTCGACTTCAACGTAACCAACGAAAATGGATGAATTGGCACTGTACCGTGGACTCCTGACAGATTTCAACCATGAAGCCAGGTATCCTTATGAGATACGTAATGAATTAGTGTGGTAAGCTTTCAAAGTACAACACAACTCGCCACTTGCTCAATTATGTCTATATAATGGGACCGCTTTCAACGTAAAAATTGAGTTCCCAACCAGAGAGAAAACAAAACCTTCAATTATACATTAAAATAGGAAAACCGATCTAGTTTATTTAAGTGAAAGTATTAAATTACACGAAAAGATTGATAGCGTTGCGGCGCAAATTCACTTCAATCGGGTGGGCCTCAAAGTAGTCGTTGTCAATCCAATAAAACTCGTTCTATAACAATGAACATATATGTACATATAAAGTTTGAGTAGCAGAGAAAGAATTTAAAGTGAACAAACGAATTAACAGAAAAAACCCCAATATACTATATAAGTAAAGATAGAGTTACGTACAAAAAACCACTGATAATGATTACACAAATCGATACATAGAACAAGTCACAGTATCGGAGACCACGTTAGTTATAAGAGGTGATAACACAAAACATGTAAATAGCGAACCTTCATCAAATTACATGTTAGCTGCTAACAGTTGAGTTTGAAAAATTTAGATATTTAAACAAACGGAACAATAAGATACAAGTTTTTAACAATTACCACATTATCATTCGATTGTGTTTAATTTGAGTCGAACAATTAAAAAACCTCGTTTTTAAAATTTCAGAAGCTAAACTAATTCGCTTGTCAGTTTAGAAATTTAGATGATCAACAACTCGGACTATTTTGATGCCTTGATTTTTCATAATTTTCCCAACTCTATTACTAGATTTACATCACTAAGAAATATTCACCAGTATATAATCTCCGATTGTCTCTTAATCAACAAAAACACTGAGAGTTTAGCACAAGGCTCCTATTGTTCAAACGAATGAACAAATAAATATTGCAAACAAACATTCATGAAACAACATAAAGATATGGTTTAGCTTAATAACAGTTTGATAATAGAGAAACGAAAAAAGCTCACCTCAGTTTGACCAGGAAACAAACGCAATTTATCACACAATATTACCTGACTACCAGATTTAAATGAATACGGTTGAGAAAGGAGCCATGAGCGAAACTGTTGTATATGATCCCAATAGCTGGTGGAACGACGAAAAATATCCAAACGAATGTGATCCTAAAGACATACATTTTTATCGGTACATATTTAAATGGATTACACAAAACTACTAAATGTGTATTTAAACGTGAAACGGACCTTTGATTATCTAATCTAAGTAATTAAATCACTTATTCACTTCTAACACATATAGTAACACAGATTTTCACCTCCTAATAACTTTCTTATCTCTACGATTGATCCTCCCCAGGTTCCTTTGTCACCTCGCGCCGCTAATGCAAACGATTCGAGTGCGCGGAATTTTATTCTCGGTCTCCTGAAGCCACGTTCTACTAAACCCGGAAAGATAGGAACAATGGTCGTTGCCTCTTCGTCTTCCCCGCTTACTCTCCTACTAACTGCAGCTCAGATGAGGTAAAAGATAGTTTTACAGAAAGCTTTCTGACCTCCTCCAAAAAGTTAGGCGTTCTGATGTAGTAATAGTGGCTGGTGACTTTAATGCTCAAGTAGGTAAACTAAGAGAAAAGGAAAGACACAGGTGGATTTTATGGTGTCGTGGCTCGAAGAACAGATAAAGGTGACTGTCTGTTGCAGCCATGCTCAGACAAACGCCAGTTTCTAACAAATACTAATTTTAAGCATAAGAAAAAATATCTTTAACATGGCGACCACCGAATTCGTACCAACGCTGGACTGCACTAGATCACATAGCTATCAACCACCGATGGAGGAGTTAGACAGAAGACTGTCACTCGTTTGGAACACATGCTTAGAATCAGTACCTCTCAGGATTCTACTTAATGATAACCAAGCTAAGTTTCTATTTCAGGAACAACTAGAAACACAATTAGGCAGTCATGTAAGTGATACCCACACTGAGGCAGCTTGGAATGATATTTGAGAAGCTGTGAAAACAGCAGTGATATCTGCTAGTAAAGGCAAGTTGATGTAAGTTCCCTAACTCTTTACGAAGTTGAAAAACAGATAGGAAAACCGAAGCGAGGAAGAGCAGCAGTCCTGACAGGTTTACCCCTGAGATTTTTAAGGATGGTGGTCCAGTATTAGCAATGAGATTAACGGAGGTCATAGGTAGAATTTGGGAACTGAACGTAATCCCATCTGACTGGTCTCAATCACTGATTGTGCCAGTCTATAAGAAAGGACAAAAGTCCTCTTGTGACAATCACAGAGGAATCAGTTTGACTAATATAGTGTCTAAAATATTAGCTTCAATAATACTTCGACGCCTAATCAAAGCTCGCGAAGAGCTGATTAGAGAAAACCAGGCCGGTTTTCGACCTGGACGTGGTTGTATAGACCAGATATCCACACAACGTCAGGTTCTAGAACATAGAAACACATTCAGACGCCCCACAATGGTAGTATTTCTCGACCTTAAGGCGGCATTCGACTCTGTTGATCGTGAGATTCTATGGCAGTGTTTGTCATTGAAAGGAGTACCAAGAAGTACATTAACCTTGTAAAGGCTCTCTACTCAAACACAACTGGTCAGGTGAGAGCTTATGGCGAACTGTCATCAGAATTGATTACCTCAAATGGTGTTCGTCAGGGCTGTCCACTCTCTCCATTCTTGTTCAACTTTGTCGTCGATGTACTTTTAGAGATAACACTCTCCTCATCTAAATTTCCAGGGGTTGAACTTCTACCGGGAGGTTCACTTGTTGACTTAGAATATGCTGATGACATAGTTTTATTTGGCGAAGACGCTGACAAAATGCAGGGTCTTCTGACCACTTAAGCAACAATGCAAGCATGTTCGGGATGCGATTCTCTCCCTCGAAATGCAAAATTTTGTTTCAGGATTGGGTTGCATGACACCCGAACTAATGATAGGGAGTGAAATAATTGAACTTGTCGACCGCTTCACTTATCTTGCAAGTCTCATCAGCCCTTGTGGTCTGGTGTGTGATGAAATCTCAGCACGGATACAGAGGGCTCGAATAGCTTTTGCCAACTTGCGTCATTTATAGAGTAGACGAGATATCCGTCTACCAATCAAAGGACGTGTTTACTGCGCAGCAGTTAGTTCCGTCCTACTTTATGGCAATGAAACATGGCCAGTAAGAGTAGACGATCTTCGTAGGTTACTAATATTCGACCATAGGTGTCTTCGAAGCATTGCTCGTATATCCTGGGACCACCGAGTAAGTAACGCAGTTGGTAAGAAATGAGTACCAGGTAAGATGACAAATCGATTGATGACGTAGTGAAACTTCATCAGTTGAGATGGCTGGGACATGTGTTACGTATGCCCAACCACCAACTGCCCCGACGTGCGATGTTTTATGGTGTAGGGGTAGGTTGGAAAAAGTTAGGGGCGGTAAGGCCAACATATGGCACAAATCTATGAAGTCACTGACAAGTGGACTGAGTTGTGTTGGTAAGTGTAGACTAACTGGTTGGGGACCGCGAGATGATAACAACCGATGGTTCGAGACCCTGAATGACAAAATCGTTTGCAACCGCGCAGGTGCATCCACTCTTTGTGTTCTCCCAAATTCTAATCTTCTGAATTCTTCATGTCTCTTTTTCCTCTCTTCAAATTTATTTCACTGAATTATACTCCTTGAATAACATCTTCAAACCATAATCTTTCCGATTACTGCTTACACTTTTACTACCTCTACCATTATGTGGTTTGAATCGACAATTGTATCTGTGTGTTAATGCGGTATAGCAACTCGAACTGATGTACGTACGTACGTACATAGTTCTATGTTGTTGCGGAGTGACTGAATACAGATTTTGATTAACGACTATCCATACAATAATTCATTAAAAACGTCCACATATTATATTCCATCACCCCTACTAGTTTATTAATTTATTTGAACACATATTGGTACAAGAGTGCGCCAAATATATATACGCCACACAAAACAATGAGAATTTAAAGAAAAGAAGGAAAAAGTGAAAGCTAAGTAGAGTTAAAATAGGGCAATAACGAACAGATTAGTGTAAGGTAGTGTAATAATAATAATAATAATAATAATAATAATAATAATAATAATGGGGGAAGAGATCTTTCAGTTAAGGAAGAAGCAACCACTTTTTATGAAGAAAGTAAAAGAACGTTACTGCAGGATCGCCACTGGCTTCTATTCTGAGCCATATCTGACAACGTCTCTAGCCAATGTGTTGCACCACCTCACGGACCCCAGCCAGGGAGTCGTGAAGGACCAACACAAGCCAGCCCTTTGCAGCTTTCTTTCATGCCACGACACCATGTCATATACTGATCACCTCTCCGCCTCTTCCAACCAGTCCCAGAGTCGGCAAATAATGCACGACGTGGAATTCTCTGGGACGACATTCGGAGAACATGTCCAAGCCACCGAAGTCGGTGTTTCAAGATGGTGACACCGACTGCATTATCGTCTCCGTGCCAGAGCACACGATGCCGAACCTCTGCATTACTAACATGGTGTTGCCGCTGGATATCAGCAATCCTTCGGAGACAACGATGATCGAACACAGAAAGTCGTCCAACGTCCTCAACTCGGAGAGGCCAGGTTTCACAAGCATAGAGCAAAACCGCTCTCACCGACGCGTTGTAGATCCGGCCTTTTACAGCCAGACTAACATCACGAAGGCGCCAAAGGTGGCCCAGATTGGCATAAGCCGCTCTGGCTTTCACTATACGTGCATTGATCTCATCACTCACGCCACCACCAGCACTTATGAAGCTACCTAGATAAACGAACTTCTCGACTACTTCTATCTGCTCACCATCCAGGGTGAGTACAGGATTAGAATCCTGACAGTCTTGGTTCATACGCCATTTGTTCCCACAGGATACTGGAGGCAGCCCATGTGCACCACTGACTTGGTTTAGGATCAGGTTAAAGCGCCGGACACTTGCTTTTCGTCCTCTCATTTTCGTAAACAACACCCGCGCCACGAGAAGGCAGTGGAATAGGACTTCCCTGGCAGAGGCTGTATACGCGTGGCCGTGTGGGAGTATTTCGAGAGGGAGGCGAACCCCCCCCCCGCTCTCGGCCATACCAGGGCAATTGGTGGCAACCCTCCTGATATGAGTTATTATACAGAATGATCAATATAAGGATTGGTTACGGTGTAGTATTCATTAAAACAAAAAATACAGGCGTTCGTAAGGATGTGATTTATTCATTCAGGTCAAAACAATTTCAACCAGTAAACTACGGTTTCGAACCCTGCTCCACCTAATGAGGTTTGGACGATCAGTTCTATTTATTATTAGAGCAAGGAATGATTTATAACCCTGGTCCCACTGCATCAATTTAGACAACTGGTTAGTATATTTAGCTTTCACATTCAGCACGTAGCTTGAAGGTAGCTACACTAACCTGGGCCTAGTAAATGAGATAATCTAACTGTCGAACATAAAAAATAATTGCATACAGACTAATAAATGGAAATCGATAGATAATACAAGTAACAACAAGATCCTGATTTCTGTTTTATTGCTTTCTCCGTAAGAAATTCCCAGTGAATTTGAATCAACAGGAAATGGTGAGCAGGATTTCATGCTTGTAAGGAATTATCGGTAATATGTATTAACAAGACATGAAACATTAGTTTGATAATGATCGAAAATAAACCTAGGTGGCGATTGCCGGCAAAAACGATATTTTCATTTAGAATAACCTGCCAGATGCTTTCAATCATAAATCAACAATTGTCACCATACAGCTGATTGACTTCATTCAGAATACACCATTAATTTGAGTGACTAAATTCGGTTAACAGATTAGATTATCTCGAAATTGGACTGATTACCAAAGGTGACAACTTTAACATAACATATAAGTTTATGCATAACTAAACATACTACATTAATTCCTCACTAATGCTCCATGATGTCTTCCTTGTTGAAATATACCAAAGAAACAAGTCCTGATCACATTGATTTATTAATAATGTTTGACTACATACTCCAATCTACTACTCCCATAACGTTTAATTGGATTGGTGAGGCGATCTCTTGAGTATAACTGAGGCTAATGCTCCAGTCAGTTTGCTATATATAACGTAGAACCTGACACATGTGTGTCAGTTCAAGTTGCCATATAACATAATCACACAGAAATAGAATTATTAAGACAAATATCAGCATTGTAGAAGTATTGACAATATCATTAGTAACCAAAAAGATTAGGTGTAAAAAAGAAACAAAAAGACATAGGATTTAGAGAAAATAAAGTGTATGAACCTGTGCCACTGAGCACGAGTCGGAGCCATATCACACAGTCTGTAACCATTGGTTTCGACAGTTACCCCGACTTCAACCAGATAATATGAACCTACCTACACGGCTCAATGTAACGGGTTAATGACTTTATGGACTGATGACACGTTCTGGTTTGGTCTCCCCTAGCTTATTTTCAGCCTACTACACCAGACAACATTGCCCGTCGAGACAGACAGTCGTTGGGTATACATGTTGTAATCAGCTCAATTGATCAAGATACACTACCTCATTAACCAATGACTAGTGTTCCGGCACAGATACAGATTGATTTGATATCCATTTTACAAATAGGATGGTAAAAAATATCAATAAAGAAAAATTATCATTTACAGCTATTCAAGTCACTGAATAATCATGAAACTGGTACAAACCTGTTTTTATAACAATAAAACTCATAAATTTACTGCCATACACAGACTTACTCCTTCTGGAGTGATTGTGAATCCAGAAGCCTTTTCAACGATTAATTCCTTTAGTTCTCCACATGCAGGATTGTCTATGGAACTCTTAGCTTTGATTTGTTGTTGAATTTCTATACTTTTCACTTCATCAATATTTGATTTGTTATTATTACTGCTTAGTGAGAAACCAAATATTCTTCCTAATAGAGATGATGATTTCTTTGCATTCACTTCGACACCAGATTCTTTATAACTCTGTCCATCAAAAATACAGTTGATTATTTCAAAGAAATTTGTTGAATAAAAACCATTTTGACAAACATCAGGAAGCAATTTAAGATTAGACCGGATTGAGTGAAATTAGAACTAATAGAGAGAAATTAAAATCTAACTATAGTACGAATTATATTATTTATCACTGAGTTCCTGAGTACAAGGAAACGAAGCATTATCATTGAAATTCACTTAACTGACTTATTTTCTAGTATTTAGGGAATATTTTGTTGCAATAATCGTTAAATTAATAAAAACAGTTGATTTCTTGGCTTTTATTTGATAAAACATTTTCATGTATCACCAGTCAATATGCTAATAGAAGCCAGCCAGCTACAACGTAGGACCAGGCACAAATATGCATCGGTCCAGGTTGCCATACCTCATTAGCACAGCAAGATCAACACCGGATTCATGGAAGTGGTTAATTCAATGGTGGTAATATATAAAAGAAAGATTGCATATTAAGACATAATACAGGAAGAAAGAATTGGTTCGTAGAAAGAAAGATATGAAGCGATTTTAATCTCTTAGTTTAAGGGAAGACAGAGAGTGTATACACCGACGCCATTGTGACCGATTCTGAGCCATGTCACCAAGAGTCTCCAACCATTGATTACGATAGTCACGCGGACCCCAACGAAGTAGTCTGCATCTACCAACATGGCTCAGACTAGAGGTTAGTGACTTCAAGCACTGATGCCAATGTTAATAGAAATGTATACACTAAAATGAGGTGACAACATAAGTATTACTAATGATTATCATAGTCAAACTAATTTATAAAAATAAAAGAGGAGGTTAATTGTCACTAGTTTAACAACATGAAATACTAAAGACTGATGGCAAAAAAAACACAAATTGATGAACTCTTTATGCCTACGGAAATTACCTTTCTTGCTTTGAAAAACAAACAATTGATTCAGATTATTATCATTACAATTATTGTCATTATTAATACTGTTATTATTATTACTAGTATTATTGTCATTATTGTTATTATTATCATTATTATTATTATTTTCCACATTACTCACCCTCTTTTATACTTATACAGCGGCTCGTCTTTGGCGGAAATTCGACTGTATCTATACGTTCTCGAGTCACTGTCCGGTTTGAAAATTGTATGTTACCACCGAATACGAGGACTGAAGCAGATTTTCTGAAACCACGTGCACCATTCAAACTGGCTGCCTTCAACGTTCGCACATTTATGCAGGTCGGACAACAGATAGGGCTGGCTATGTCTTTGGAAAGTCTTAATATCGACGTGTGTTGTCTATCCGAGACCCGTATTCAAGACTCTGGCGAAGTACTACAAATTCGATCTCCATCTGTCGCTTCGAAAAGCTTGTTTTACGTGCGCTTATCCGGGGACCCTGTGGCATCTTCGTCTGGTCTTGCTCGCGTTGGTGTCGCACTAAGCGCTAGAGCTGAGGCGGCACTAATGAGCTAATGAGCTGGAAGCAGCAGCTGCATCTGGTAACTACCGGAAGCTCTTCCAGCTCATCCGAGCCACTGGCAGCAAGAAGTCTGGTGTGAGTGAAACAATCTGCGAGGATGATGGGATGCCAATCACTAACATCCATCGACGTCTTGGACGATGGGCAGAATTTTTCGAAGGGCAGTTCAACTGGCCTGCTGCTCCGGCAACATCGGTCAGACTGTCCTGCCCTCCATGGCCGGTGACGACTGATCCACCAAATGAGGAGGAAGTCCGCAAGGAACTCCAACTCTTGAAGCGTTACAAATCACCTGGCCCAGATGACTTACCTCCGGCTCTTTTTAAAGATGGTGGTGACTTTTTGACTAAGGAATTGACGACGTTGTTTACAAAGGTTTGGGAACTAGAGTGTGTACCAACGTCATGGAATGAGTCGATAGTTGTCCCTATCTTTAAAAAGGGTTCACGTCGTTCTTGTAACAACTATCGGGGGATAAGTTTACTTCCGATTGCGTCCAAGCTATTGGCTTCCGTCATTCTTCGTAGGTTGTTCAAAACCCGAGAAAGATTGACTCGCGAGGAGCAGGCTGGGTTTCGTTCTGGTCGAGGATGTATTGATCATATCTTCACCCTCCGCCAAATGTTAGAACACCGCCATACTTTTCAAAGGCCAACAATCGTAGTGTTTCTTGACATCAGGGCTGCCTTCGATTCGTTGGACAGGACTGTTCTCTGGGATTGTCTATTGAAGAAGGGTGTGCCTGAGAAGTTTATTAACATCCTGAAAGCCCTGTATAAAAACACCTCAGGCAGAGTGAGGGCATACAACCACCTCTCTCCATTGTTCCATTCGAGCAGTGGGGTTAGGCAGGGTTGCCCAATCTCACCATTCCTCTTCAACTTTGCCATCGATGACATTCTGGAAACAGCTCTGATGAATGTAAGTAATGGTGGTGTGGATCTGTTGCCTGGAGAAAGACTTCTCGACCTTGAGTATGCGGACGATATTGTCTTACTGTGCGATAATGCCCAAGGCATGCAATCCGCACTTAATCAGTTGGCAATCAGTGTCCGTAGGTATGGTATGTGCTTTGCACCTTCGAAGTGCAAAGTACTTCTACAAGACTGGCAGGATTCTAATCCTGTACTCACCCTGGACGGTGAGCAGATAGACGTAGTTGAGAAGTTCGTGTATCTGGGTAGCTGCATAAGTGCTGGTGGGGGTGTGAGTGATGAGATCAATGCACGAATAGTGAAAGCCAGAGCGGCTTATGCCAATCTGGGCCACCTTTGGCGCCTTCGTGATGTTAGTCTGGCTGTAAAAGGTCGGATCTACAACGCGTCGGTGAGAGCAGTTTTGCTCTATGCTTGTGAAACCTGGCCTCTCCGAGTTGAGGACGTTAGACGACTCTCTGTGTTCGATCATCGCTGTCTCCGAAGGATTGCTGACATTCAGTGGCAACACCATGTCAGTAATGCAGAGGTTCGGCATCGTGTGTTCGGGCACAGAGATGATAACTCAATTGGTGTCACCATCTTGAAACACCGACTTCGGTGGCTTGGACATGTTCTCCGAATGTCGTCCCAGAGAATTCCACGTCGTGCATTATTTGCCGACTCTGGGACTGGTTGGAAGAGGCGGAGAGGTGGTCAGTGCATGACATGGTGTCGTGGCATGAAAGAAAGCTGCAAAGGACTGGCTTGTGTTGGTCCTTCACGACTCCCTGGTTGGGGTCCGAGAGATGGTGCTACACAGTGGCTAGAGACGTTATCAGATATGGCTCAGAATAGAAGCCAGTGGCGATCCTGCTGTAACCTTCTTTTACTTTCTTCCTAAAAAGTGGTTGTGTCTCCTTTACCTGAAAGATTTCTTCTGATTGTACCTTTTCGTTCCGTCGTTACTACCACACTACCTTACTCCAATCTCTTCGTCATTGTTCTCTTTTTCTTTTGCGTTCCTAGTTTTTTTTTCTTTCTATTTCTCTTCGAATTTTCATTGTTTTGTGTGGCGCATATATATTGGCGCTCTCTTGTACCAATATTTATGTGTTCAAATAAATAAATAAATAAATAAAAAAACACATTAAGTGAGGGGAAAAACCGGACTATTATATTTCGTCATCCATAAGCTAACTATGCCATGTTAGGCTGTTGTAGGTAGCCGACAGGAAACCCTGGACCTAGATTTCGTACCAATTTCAATATTGAGGAAGCCGGTGCTCCGCACACGATCTGAACACAAGTTACTAGGTCACAGTTTAAGATATAGTGATGAGCCGTTTATACGGCGACTGACCAGATAAAACTAGGATATACACATCAGTTCATCATTAAGTAGTAATCAATCTTGTGCTTGTCTAGTCCTTGGTTCTGACTAAATTCCAGTTCCTCTTATGTAACCACTACAATCTATCAGTATTACTAAGTAGGCGTCTAAATACGATAAGGTACTTACCATTAACTTCTTCTCCCAACATTTCGAACATCCTGTACAAATTGGAGTATAAGTAAGGCGAGCGAATTTCACACGACTTTTTTCCAGCTTTTTGTCAGATATAGTGACTGGAGAATCTGCGAAAAAATTCAATGAAGTTTTAGAATCACTATGAGGATATATTTGAGCATTGTTTTCAGACGATCGAAGCCAATACCAAGTAGATCTCCACAATGCACCAAAATTACGACTCCAAGATCTAGGAGATGAAACTGAAAGTGTTGTGAGTACACCACGGTGATCGTTAGGATTTGTTGGCTTTTTATGCCTATCACTAACACCACAACCCCCACCAAGTTCTATATCTCTCCAAATATTCCATTCAATACCTAATAAAGAATAAGTATTCGCAGATGACGCCTTTGATTGTTCAACTGGTTGACTATCCTATTTGAAAAGTTATAAGCAAACGACTTCAAAACACTATAAGTCACCTAAATAAAATGATTTACATGTAAAAATTACATAATAGGTAAGAAATGTGTAAAAAGAATGATACTTGTAGATGAGATTGCTTATTTCAAAAAGCTTTTTAAATGGCATAGATCACTTTGTGATGTAGCCATGATGAATACGGAATTCAGACTGAAGGCATATACCACCAAGTGTGTTTACACAATAAGTTGAAAAGATTTTCGTTTGTATTCTCATGAGGTTTAAGAACAAATACTAATAATTACTGGTACTAATCAGTTGATTTACAAATAATTTAGTAAGCCCATTGTTCATGAAGATGATGAAACACTAGTTAACATATGCCTCTAATATTTCAGCTTTTCTAGATTATTTTAATTTATCCACATTTCACTTCCTCTCTTAACCAATGAAGGAGACTATTCCTATCTTCTCCTATGCTTGACTAACTAGAGCAAGAAATTCAGTTGTTGTAGAGAAGCTTTTCTGATTGAGATCCAGTAGAATTCAAAATACATTTAACATCAGTGATACATTGATTTAGATAATTAAAATTTAAGAACTGAGAGATTTTCAATCAGCACACATCACGAAAATACGCCGAAAAATTTATACGGTGTATAAATTAATCATTAGGTACCCGACATATTACATGGACCTTTAAAATAAACGTTTTAACGAAAATTCTCTCAAATAACTAAAGTTATAATGAAATTAGGAGAGAAGGTAACATATTCACATACATGACTGTATTTATCCTTCAACTTATGAATCAACCGATTTCTAAACGTAAAATGAAAAGTAGACTCACAAACCACCCAGTAGTTCACGGGAGTTGAACTGACAATATGAGTAATTCCAACTATTATATGTGTTAAAGTTCCATTTTATTTGTAATGCCAAGTTGTAGTAGGTTTTACGTGGATTCAATAAATAAAACTGTGTAGATTAAAAGTATATCACAGGGAACTATTAATCAGAGAAAAAAGCGACATTTACTAAAACTATAAACTCACGTCTGAAATAACTTTTACTTCCAAAACATTTCTCCTTTTAGTATTCTGTTGTAGGACAGAATGTAAAACGTTGTAAAACCATCTACAATGTGTGAGCATATAAGAACAATTATAATAAACATTAACAAACTAGACATGTTAGACTTTGATATTTATTTGATGAAAGGTTAAGTAGTGAACAAACGGATTCATCAAAACATTCAGATCCTAAAAATGTCAATCAGTCAGTCAGTAACAACGTAGAACTTCGTACGTACGTACATCAGTTCGAGTTGTCATATCACATTAGCACCGAGATGCAGTCGTCGATTCAAATCCTGTAGTAGTACAGGTAGTACTTTTATGTCAAACAGTAATCCAAAAGATGAAGTACAGTATGAAGTTCGTTACGGGCCAGATCCTGAAATAACCCTCAATATTGCTTGCTAGCAATAAACTTAACAAACATTTATTTCATATGCTCAACGACTTTGATGAATTAGATTGTTCTTTTTAATATTACCTATCCACGCCTATTCAGATCAAAGTAACTAATATCATGCTCAAATTCAAAATAAAAGTCAAGAACATTGAAATATGAAAGGGGATAAAAAGTGTACAAGGATAAATTATATTAGCTTACTTAGGGACAACTGTTTTTTCATAGATAGAGTTTACAAGCCCATTCCAAATACCTACGGGCACCGCTCCGACTGGCAATGACCACAAAGGAGTAGTCTGTGACGATTTGTTAGCTATGAGATCCAACATACTTTAAAATCATCCCGGGATAACAAACTTGTAACTGCCTAAACAATGTGCGTTATGACAAGGAAAATACTTTTTGGATCAAATTGTCGTCTCCAACAACTAAAACACCGTCAGTACTGCTCGGATCTAGCACTTTTATGAAGTCCTTTATTTCAGAATCGGTGTCCAGATAAACCATTTTAACGTCAAGACCAGATAGGTTTAAAATAGGAGCAGCATTGTTTTCAAACTCTTTTAAAAGTCCTCTGGAAAATAGAATATTAGCACATACCCACGACGCGAGAATGGATTTACAAACACAGTCAGGCTGCGTAGAGGTTGTGTGCTATTAACGGTCTTGTAATTTTCTGACTACTAAATCATAGGCAAAGCTGAATGACCTACAGAAACATGGGAGCATATTTCTCGGTGCAAAACGTAGTCTCTATTTGCATGAGCAGGCGTAAAATAAAAACGTACCGATATTTTTCCCCCGTAAACTTATAACAATAGACTAAACATAGTGTCCCAGCAACAAGCTTTTTCGGATGGGTCGCGGCAACACGCCAAACCGCAGACATTAAAAACTGCGCTTTCACAAACATCAAATCTTTATCGAATTTAAGTAGGGAATTAATTCGAAACATTAAAGGAGTTGCTTAATAAATACCAAGTGGTGCCATTTTATTAATAATTCTGAGTTCCCTAAAAGGATACAACAATCGGTTATATTAATGACTGAGTGAACACTAAAGTTGAACAGTTGCTAAACGATAGCTCTTTAACATGTAATTCACTTGTCACCACGCTCAGTATTATTACAATGACATAAAAGGTCTAGACGTAATGGACATGTTCCTTTGTACTCTCAATTTTTTTCTCACTTATTTGTAAACTTACCAGGTAATGTATTTTCAGTAAATATTTTCGTTAGTGATTCCCATTTGGATATTCTGACCAATTCGTCTTAATTTTCGGAAGACTGTATTGGCAAACAGATCCGCAGAATAAATAACTTTTACGCATCCAAAATCGATACTAAATTCGCTCCGTCAAGCACCCAGACCAGATTACGTTTCGACTTACCACTGAACGAATTTCCTCCGATAACTCGACAATATAGGAGTTACAGGCCACAGTGCTTCTATCTGTAATCAAAACATTTAGTTACTGAATTGCCCTCGAATTTTGTAACTATACCGGAAAAAATACGATTGGAGGCGCTTGGACAGCGGTATGATGCTGTAGAGGTAAATAAATCCCCGAAATAAATAGCTCTGTAAGTCTTCGACTTTGGATGCTGACCACATTAGTTTTAATGGACTCGCCTAGCTGAATGCTCTCGATCATGTACCCGCACCAGATCACGAGTGGGAACGCCGTGCTCAACATCCCCTGCAATCGCTAGCCAAATTAGATCAGATGATCCTCGATATATTGATAGCCTGTCAAACATATCTTCGAGCCTTCTCGCTTCTGTTCTTTGATCTCACTTGGTGGGTAAGATTCATGTTAGGTGTTACTGGTTAAGTTACTTACTTCCGCCTGTTACTCCCAATGGAGCATAGACCGCTGACCAGCATTCGCCAACCCACTCTGTCCTCCGCCTTCTTTTCTAATTCTATCCAATTCTTGTTCATCTTTCTCATGTCTATCTCCATTTCTCGGCGTAATGTGTTCTTTGGTCTTCCTCCTTTCCTTTGACCTTGAAGATTCCATGTGAGGGCTTGTCTTGTGACGCAGTTGGGTGATTTCCTCAATGTGTGTCCTATCCACATCCAGCGCTTCTTCCTGATTTCTTCCTCCGCTGGGATCTGGTTTGTTCTCTCCCACAATAGGTTGTTGCTGATAGTGTCCGACCAACGGATCCGAAGTATTTTGCGTAGACAACTGTTAATAAACACTTGTATCTTCTGGATGATGGCTTTTGTAGTTCTCCAGGTTTCTGCCCCATACAGTAGAACTGTCTTGACATTTGTATTGAAAATCCTGACCTTGGTGTTGGTTGACAGTTGTTTTGAGTTACAGATGTTCCTCAGTTGTAAATATGCTGCTCTTGCTTTGCCGATCCGCGCCTTCATATCTGCATCAGATCCACCATGTTCATCAATGATGCTGCCCAAATACGTAAAGGTTTTTACATCTTCCAAATCGTCTCCGTCAATTGTGATTGGATTGGTGCATGCTGTATTGTATCGGAGAATCCTGCTTTTCCCTTTGTGTATATTGAGACCTACTGCTGCTGAGGCTGCTGCTACACTGTTCGTCTTCTCCTGCATTTGTTGTTGCGTTTGGGATAGAAGGGCCAGATCATCTGCGAAGTCTAGATCATCCAACTGCATCTTAGATGTCCATTGTATCCCGCGCTTCCCTTCAGACGTTGACGTCTTCATGATCCAGTCGATCACCAGGAGAAAGAGAAAGGGTGAGAGTAAGCAACCTTGCCTTACACCGGTCTTTACTTCGAACGACTTTGCCAATTGTCCTCCATGCACCATTTTGCAGTTTAATCCACCATAGGAATTCCGTATGATATTGACTATCTTCTGAGGCACGCTGTAGTGTCGAAGAAGCTTCCATAGTGTTGTTCTGTCCACGCTATCAAATGCCTTTTCGTAGCCAATAAAGTTGATGTAGAATTCCATTCAATTGATTGTTCCACAATGATCTGTAGAGTAGCGATTTGGTCTGTACACGATCTATTCTTACGGAATCCTACCTGTTGGTCACGAATTTGGGCGTCTACGCAGTCCTTCATCCTGTTTAACAATACCCTGTTCAAGACTTTTCCCGGTATTGAGAGAAGAGTGATGCCCCTGTAGTTATCACAGTTGCTGAGATCGCCTTTCTTCGGTATTTTGATCAGGTATCCTTCTTTCTAATCTGTTGGTACTTCCTCCTCATCCCAAATTTTGCTGAAGAGAATGTGGAGTATCCTTGCAGTTGCCGCTACGTCTGCTATCAGTGACTCTGCTGGGATGTTGTCTGGTCCCGATGCTTTGCCAATCTTGATTTGTCTGATGGCCATGCTGATTTCTTCAATTGTTGGTGGGCCAACATTGATTGGGAGGTCCGTGGGTGCTGCTTCGATGTTGGGTGGGTTCAGTGGAGCTGGTCGATTCAAGAGTTCTTCGAAGTGTTCTACCCACTTGTTTTGTTGCTCTTCAATGTTGGTGATTACCTCGCCTTCCTTAATTTTCACTGGTCGTTCTGATTTGCGGCGATTTCCAGAGAGTTTCTTTGTCGTGTCATACAATTGTCTCATGTTTCCTTCTCTTGCAGCCTTTTCCGCCGTCGTTGTTAAATCTTCCACATATTTACGTTTGTCGGTTCTGATGCTCCTATTCACTTGTTTGTTTACTTCTGTGTATTTAGCTTGTGCCTTCGTGTTAAGTTTGTCTTACATTGTTCCTACATGTTCCTTTTCTACTCTTTTGTATGTTGTTTTATACTACTTATTTACATTCAGTAGGCAGCTGTATGCCCAACAATTTTCAAACTTACGTTGTAACTCAAGTTGTACTGTAACATTCTGGGATGTTCACATATATCTTCAATGTTTATTTTACTTATCATTGTATTTATCATTATAATCACTGTAATTTAATTGCTGTAACGGTTATCCACAGTTTTATGCATTTGTTTGAATGCAACAGTTTCCAAATTGTTTGCTCTTGTTTCGAGTTTCGGTTGTTCATAAACTGTTACCAAATTTAGACACAGCTGTCGGCTGTCTTTGGACTATCGTATGTTGTAATCATTCTTTATGTTACTCTTACAGGAAGCCTTTGCTATTTTCATTCTTGAACGACGCGTTTAAACGCCTAGACACCTCACAAGTTGAGGTTTGTAACTAAATTTTGTGTATTATTTAATAAAGAACCGCTTTTGTAGACAAATCGTTGTTTTGGAACTTCGATTTTGCGCGTATCTCAATCGGGGTTACTTGGACGCTTCGATAGAATTAACACTTGGCTTTTTCTGCTCCTGTTCGACTGGTATTGATTGCTGCCTTCTTGTTCCTTCTTTCCTGAATCTTATCCAGTGTATCAACAGTGATCCATTCCTTGTGATAGTGCTTCTTGTGGCCCAGGACCTCATGACATGTTGAAGTGATTGCCTCTTTTATCCCCTTCCAGTTGCTCTCCACAGTAGTTCCTTCTCCATTGAGTAGATCATGAAAGGTCTGGAACTTGTTGCTGAGGACTATCTTGAATTTGTTGAGTTTGTTAGTATCCTGAAGAAAGGCCGTATTGAACTTTTGTGATATTGTCCGCCCCGTTGTCCAGTGCTTCTTGAGTTTCAATTTCACCTTGGCGACCAGCAAATGATGATCTGATGCTATATCAGCTCCTCTCTTGGTTCTCACGTCCTCTATAGTCCTCCTGAACGTTTTGTTGATGCAAATATGGTCGATTTGGTTTTGCGTGGTGTGATCCGGTGAAGTCCATGTGGTTTTGTGAATGCGTTTTTGTGGGAATATGGTGCCGCCTATGACCAGCTTATTGAAGGCACATAGATTTGCAAATCTCTCACCACTTTCGTTTCTTTCTCCAAGTCCGTGGCGTCCCATGATGTCTTCATATCCAGTGTTGTCCGTTCCAACCTTGGCATTGAAATCTCCCATCAGAATAGTGAGGTCCTTTGTTGGGCACTTCTCGACGATTGACTGCAGCCTATTGTAGAATTGATCTTTAGCGTCTTCATTGTAGTCGTTGGTAGGCGCATAGCATTGAATGATGTTCATTGAAATACCCTCTTTCTTTGTTTTGAACGAGGCTTTGATGATCCTTGGTCCATGAGATTCCCATCCTATAGGCGCATTTTGCGCTTGTTTGGACAGCATCAATGCAACTCCTTGTGTATGTGGTGCATTTTCTTCTTCATGGCCGGAGTATAACAGGAGCTCTCCTGAAGTTAGTCGTTGTTGTCCAACTTGCGTCCAACGTGTTCCACTGATCCTATACACCTCTAGGTTGTATCTTCTCATTTCTGCAGCAACTTGGAATGCTCTCCCGATGTCTCACATTGTACGAACATTCCATGTACCTAAATAAATGGTTGCTCTGGTTGTCAGAAGGGACATCGGCCTCGTAACTCTCGAAGGAATTCGGCTTTCATCATGAGGCGTCATAATTCTTGTAAATGAAGACCTTCTGACTCCCAGGGCAGAGTTTAAAAGGTTTGAATAATTTTTTCTGGTTAGCGTTTTTTTAGCGAGTTAGTTTTCTACGGGATGGGGACGCTAACCCCATGCCCAACCCTCCTCCTTTATCCGGGCTTGGGACCGGCAGTAGCCCCCGGAGGGACTCCAGGTGGAGTTGTTACTGGTTAAAGCACCATCAAATTCCAGATAACTGTGGCATCTTGATTGGTGAACCCGACGTGATCTGGTACACCAAATTGCAAACTGTGAGCCTGTTCCTTTTTGAGATTTTATATATCATTGCCTTATTTTAATTTTTTTATGCATTTGTGATATTTTCCGTGCTTTTGGATATATATATATTTCAGTCGTTCATTCTCGTACTTCATATTTCACCATAACTGAACAGACACCCAAGGTACTTAAGTTAAAGACTATTTCCTCACCTTCGTTTCAACTAATGCTCTTCTAAACAGGCAGCGTTGAATCCAGGTTCTGCTACGCAGAAGATGACTTCAACGATCGACACACCTGCACAATTCCTCGCAGTAGTCAAGGCACTACAGAGCGAATTCAACAGGTACGTGACACCTAGCATGTTTACTATTGATGTTTTGGAACCGTACAAAACACTTAGACGTTGAGACCTAACTGATCGACAAAGGTTAGACCAACTCCTTAATAACATCGACCTGCAACACGGTTATGCGGCAGACATGTTGCAAAAAATGAGAGAGGTTATCGGCCAAAGGATTTTCGATAATGGCCTATTCAAACAAATTTTCTTGTCCAAACTTCCTCAACAGGTGCAAGTTGTACTGGCCTCGTTTCAAAACAACGTGTTAGATGAGCTGTCCGCATCTGCCGACCGCATCTTAGAAATCACGAAATCTTTGATGCAGAGTTTTTTTCAGTCAAAGAGATGCCTCAAACGAGCCAGAGTGACATTACAGAGTTATGTCATACACTTACACGTTATCTTAAATATCGTAACGATATACCCTGCGAAGAAGCACTTCACGTAGGCGATCTGTCTCTAGACCACGGGAGACGGATAACCCCGGCTGGTGCTGGTATCATAATCAGTATGAAAAGTCTTCCGGAAATTGCAGAAACCCCTCAGTTTTCTCGACACAACATCGACCGACTCGAAAAACGACTCGAGAAACTTCCAAGCCGGCACGCTTCAACAGCAACCGTAGCTGGCGAACATAGCCATCTGTCGTACGCCACAGATGTGGTAACAAGAGTTCGCCACCTCGTCTATACCGGCGCAGAAGTTAGCGTTCTTCCAGCGAATTCTAACGACCGTCTTCACGAATCGGTTTTAAATCTACAGGCGGCAAACTGAAAGCCTATCGCTGCGTGTGGCAAAAGGTACATTTACCTTAACGTCGGTTTACGCAAAACCTATTTACTGGAACTTTGTTGTTGCCAATCATTGATGTAAACCTTCTACAACACCAAAATCTGATCATCGATACGCGCAAACGGGAGCTAGTAGACGGAAACACTAATTTATCTGCTTACTTAACTTCTTTTTCTGGTTGCAGACTGTCTCCAGTCACAACTAGGCACACGATAGAGCCATTTTATCAACCACTACTCGATAAGTATCCTGACTCATCGTATAGTAACAATTAACAGTACGACACCTAATACTTGAAACTAACACATTTAAACTGAAAATAGGATAATACATACTTCATATGAATAAAAGAGATAAGTTATATAAGGATAACCACGCTTGCCATCCGAACAATTACAATAATTTTTCTCACGTTCACCATTATCAGCCTTCTCTTCGTGTGAAATTTTGAACACTTATTCTCCGAGTTATCTCATGTTCAGCTTTGAAGTTTTTGTGGTTACGGCCAATCCCTTTTTAGCTATATCGATGCCATAATTTTTCGGAATCTGACAAGACCTTAAACAGTAACACCTTTTATAATCGAAACGTTCCAACCCAATGAAATCAGAAGTCGGAAGCGAGGATGTTCAAAGATACACTTGATATAATATCGATATATCTAGAAGTGACTAACCTAAGCTGGTTAGTGGTTGTGATCACTCAGCGGGAGTAATCACTTGTGATCGTGTGCAGATGCATGACCGAGCGCAGTCAGCTAGGTGAGTCTATTAAATCTATTGAGGTCAGCATCGAGTGTCGAAGACTTACAGGGGCACTGATTTTTAGAATTTATTTACCGTCATAGGTTTGATGGAATCGTAACTAAGTTGACACGTAAAATCGAAAGCTACTGTGTGGCGAGACGGTATCAGGGATGAGTTTACTCCTATCGTACAAAAGAACAAAAGATAATCTGATCAGGCCCTCTGGTCACGCGATTAATTTTTACATCTGACACGTCCTTGTCCTCGTCCTTCAGAATAGAGAAACGTCTATAATCGGAGAACTGACTACTTGTCGCATGATTACCAACTTTCCATCGAATTGTCAGTGAATGGAAGCATCTATCTTGTCAAGTGATTATACTCCCTTCCATCAGTTTATGCAACAAAATCCTGTACCTCGGGAAACAAAAGTAACGTTCTGACACTTTATTCTCCCTGAAACGAAGCAATGCAAATGGACACTTCAGTATGCTGCCATAAGAAGCAGCATCTCGCCCATCGATTCAATAAGTCAAGATAAAAGTGAGAAAATGAACTAGCTCAGTGATCAAGCGAAAAACAACACATTAGTACTCTTTCTTCAGAGCCAAAGTTTAAAAAGCGTTTTCTCGAAGTCTGTTTGAATCGCTCAAAACATGAGGTCATATGCTACGAACCATTGGGGGCTTATTAGGGTTATCGAGATGTAGATGCTTATGGAGGTGTGCAGCGGTGCATCCTGATGAACTAAGATTCCATTTTGAGGTTCTATGATACTTTTATTGTTAAATACCTTCCTTTAGAAACCCGATTCTGTAAGGATACTTAACAGCGAACTCAATATGGATCGAAAATTTAGTATGTCCAGTGCAAATAATGGTGAGTACGAATTCTGTTTGCTTTATTGTAGTTTGGTTTCTGTAGATGAAAACAAAGAATCACTGGATAGTTCGGAATGCATACAAATGGTCCGGCTGTGTTCGGAATTGCATCTACAAGTAAGAACGACTTGTCGAGCCTTGTATATTTTCTTAGTGCAGAACGTACCTCACAATTATTCGAACTAATCTCGAAATAGATGATGAAAATACCGAAAGTTCTCAGTCGGAAAGCGATATCGTTTGTGCTTTAAAAAACTTCATGCTCTGTTGAACTCGGGCTTTTCTTCAAGGATTAAATATTTGTATTCGATAGCAGGTGATTATGATTTTGGCTCTTTGCGGGCGAATGGCATCCGAAGCTTTTTGGCCATCACTACGAGATGCTCTGCTGTTCTGCTGATGTACATTCGGCAAATGAGTTCATATTCCCTTTCCAACTGGTAAGACCAGATTTAACCAGATTCACTATTTTCGTTTAGGCAAATCCGTAAACTATTAAAACCTTTTAAATTTTTTCTGCGACTCATCCTTAAGTGAAATTATCATTGTGGAACTACTATAAAGGTCGTAGGAGAGTAAATAAAGATATTTTTGAGGTTTGGAAAATAATGGGTGTATGTATTCATACAACAACTTTAGATTCTGAATATCAACTCAGATCTCTGTTTATGTAAATAGTCCTTAAGACCCCAATCAGAAAGTTTACTTCTCACGCTAGTTAATGCAAAACCCAGTGATTTAATAGATCCTGTCTTGTGGCTTAGATTTTGGCAATTAATACAACTGAAATTGCTCTCATATGCTAGGATCACTAGGTAAGTAATAGTGAGGTTAGACGCAGCGTATTAGGGAATGGTGGTAAGTCATTTGATGAGGTTGTGGATCTTCATCGACTGAGATGGTTGGGCCACGTATTACGATTTCCTGAACACCGATTACCACGATGCGCAATGCTAACTAGTGTTGGGGATGGTTGGAAGAAAGTTAGGGGTGGTCAAACCAAAACGTGGTATCAGTGCTTGAAGTCATTAACTTCTAGTCTGAGCCATGTTGGTGGATGCAGACTACTTGGTTGGGGTCCGCGTGACTATCGTAACCAGTGGTTGGGGACTCTTAGTGACATGGCTCAGAATTGATCACAATGGCCTAGGTGTATTCACTCTGTCTTCCTTTGAACTATGCGATTAAAATCGCTTCATATCTTTCTACGAACTAATTCTTTCTTTCTGTACTATCCTTATATTACAATCTTTCTTTTATATATTACCACCATTGATTTAACCACTTCTATGAATCCGGTGTTCATCTTGCTGTGCTACTGAAGTATGGCGACTTGGACCGATGCATATATGTGCCTGGCCCTATGTTGTAATTGACTGACTGACTTGAGTCAACACTGTATGTCAAGGTAGATGTAGCGCATGACCCGATTACTTAATTCGTTCGAAGTCCACTCCGTTAGTTTGTTCATTGTCCGGGGCTTCTCACGTCGATAGTGTTCATTCAATGGTTCTACTATGCACGAGTTGTGACTCTTCAGTACCTATCTCAAGACCAAACGAATTGCTCTTCTGTGATGTACTGTCAAGTATCTCTATCCCTAAAGGTGGTGTAGCTGGATCTAGTAATTCCTATTTAATGCAAAAAATCCTTTTCACTCGTCTTCACTTAGTCTCTCAACTCCATGAATCAAATAGCCTTCTGAATAAGCAGTTATCTACATGCTTGACCACCATACACTGCTCCTAAACTGCTTCTCCTGTTAAATCTGCTCTGAATTCTCACTGTATTTCACCATTTTGCTGTGTAGTGACTTTGACTGATACACACATCGTAGGATCTACTTTGGTTGTGACACTGGTCGTTAATTCTATAGGTACGAAGTAAATGTCGAAATATTCATTTAAAAGATTTGTGTGGCACATGTATATTTGGTACCTCATCGTACCAATTTTTATGTGTTTAAACAAATGAATGAAGCAGTTTACGTGATCTGCTTACCGTCGTAAAGGCTGTCGATCAATGCAATTGTTGGAATGATTGTGGCGTCTACACCAGTAATTTACCCAAGAAACCGATTTACCGATCCCACCTAAATGGAATTTGGGCGATAAAACTACTGGCCAACTGATTAAAAATGTAAACAATGTAAGAGAATTCACGCTATTGTATATGTACAAAATGCTTTACTAAGATGTTGTGGTTATTAGTTACTTGTCGGTTGAAAGATGAGTAATGGAGATTTGAAATATAGGTCACAAAATAATCACTTGAGATGGCTGGGACATGTGTTACGTATGCCCAACCACCAACTGCCCCGACGTGCGATGTTTTATGGTGTAGGAGTAGGTTGGAAAAAGTTAGGGGCGGTAAGGCCAACATATGGCACAAATCTATGAAGTCACTGACAAGTGGACTGAGTTGTGTTGGTAAGTGTAGACTAACTGGTTGGGGACCGCGAGATGATAACAACCGATGGTTCGAGACCCTGAATGACAAAATCGTTTGCAACCGCGCAGGTGCATCCACTCTTTGTGTTCTCCCAAATTCTAATCTTCTGAATTCTTCATGTCTCTTTTTCCTCTCTTCAAATTTATTTCACTGAATTATACTCCTTGAATAACATCTTCAAACCATAATCTTTCCGATTACTGCTTACACTTTTACTACCTCTACCACTATGTGGTTTGAATCGACAATTGTATCTGTGTGTTAATGCGGTATAGCAACTTGAACTGTTGTACGTACGAAGTTCTACGTTGCTACTGACTGACTGACCACTCATTTTAACAACCGTTTTAGGTCTATCAAAGGACGTCTGGTCAGATATATAATTACAGAAAAATTGCAATCACTTAGTTATTTTTATCGATATCTTTCTGCCAATGTTGATTGGTAAGTCGTAAAAAAATATACTAGAAGGGACTTATTCAAAAAGATTTCAATGTGGCTGTCATAAGATGACTTCTGTCCCCTCATAAGCTAATTTAATCAATGATCGAAACTACTTTGACCAGATTATTTTTATTTGTAAGCCTCAGCTATTCTATCCAGTACTTCGAAACTGTCATTTTAAATAACTATAGGGGTGTATGTTTAGGGTTGACTAACGCCGTGTTGTATTAATTTGACCCAAAATCTCTTTCAAGCACTATCATAGTTACAGTGAACAGTTGTTTTTCATTCCTTATACTGGTGATTTGTCTATGTGACTGTTTCAATTGGCTACACAACTAAGCATCAAGTAGTTTAGGTTACCTTATATAAATCCTATTTCCGATCAAAACCTTTTGACCTGTTGGATAACAAAAATTTTCTCTTTTTAAGATTTTCAGGGATTACTTTGAAGAAAACAAGATATTGACAGTTGTGGTTGTGATCGCACATATACTCAGTATTAGTTTTTAGAAATAGTCGGTTTTAGATGATATTCTAACCTATTGGATTGCTTGTAATATAAGAATTAATAATTTCTACGTGTACTATAGTAAACGTTATCGTACATATTATACCCATATTTGATCATAATATAAGATTATAATTTCCTATTAACGTTAGGTCTGGTATAACACATAAAAGCGTGATAGCATACATCAATTGCCTTATGGAGCTCAGCTTGTGTCTTGAAGTTCTTAGTTATCTACCACGTTTCACTAAACCTTGTACGCTTTTCCCTCGATCTGAGTTCGTCGATTTGCCGGAGATTGGACATTGTGATGTAAGCAGTTTTGATGATAAACCGACAAATATTACCGATGCATATTTTACTGTGAAATCAAAACAGCATCAAGAAAATCTTTCAGAGTTCTACCGACTAGAAGTCCTATCAGACAGTATAAAACAAGAATATTTTTATGGTCGTTGTCTAGCCTTTTACTTATGCCCTAGTGCTCAGAGAATTTTGCTGTTCCTCAATTCGTTTATGGCGGGATATGGTAATAGCTTTTTGGTAAGCATACTTATTTATTTAATATGAGTAACTTTAATCCAATGTATTTAAATTTATGATATCAGAACACCTATTAAAGTTGTTTTAGCAAAATTCCTTTCTCTTTATTAAAGTAAATCTGACCATTTCCGATACTAGACCGTTCATTTGTAAATTTTGATATCTAACTCGAAGGTTCACTGATTAAATTACTTGACTTCTTACCATTTGGAGGGGGAAGGAGAGTCGCATAATTTCATTAACTCTCAGATGGTGTAAATTTGAGCTGAATGCAAAAACCTCTACGTAGTTACTAAGTCGTATTAAATGCAAATCGAAGTAGGTTAAATATGCAAAATATTTATGCTTTCAGAATTAATTATGTCGTTTAAGAAAATATTAGTTTGTAGAATCACATCATAGCACAGGTCCTTTATATTTGGGGCAGTGGTTGAGAAGTTTAAGTTTCAGTCACGAAATCCCGGATTTGAACTGTGCTTTGTCTACTTCGGTTTGGGCAGGCATATAGTATCATGAACTGTTATACAGTTTGGCTCATATCGAAGCACCTGGTGAGTTATGCAACTGGATAAGTTGTCCTGCTCTAGAAGAACAGCCTGTCAGTCATCCACAACACAGCTTGGGACAAGTGTATCATTTATGACCCTCAACTAGGTAGGATGCACCTACCTAGAAAAAAAAACACTCGCTTTGGTCCAAGTACATCATACAGATCAGTTTGAAACAATAGAATTTGCGCACAGATCCTAGTACTGGTCAGCAGGAGATAATTCAGATGACTAACCACACCAATTATTCCAACTTGTTGCTTATGAACCTAATTATTTGAGCGGCTTTTTTACATAATCTATGGCTTATGTTCTGGTAAATAACGGTGTTTTTTTCTACAAATATTTTAGACTAGCAAACAAGGAATTGTCAGCTTAGTCAACACAGTTTATCGGTCCGTTACTTCTTACTTATCCCCTGAAGACCGCGGCAAAATGCTGGCAAAGCTTACACGAAATTCCAGTGTTCAATTTTGTAAAGCATTTTGGAATTTAGCAGAATTGCGTGTAGTATCTGAAGCCCCCAATGTAATTCTACCTTCCATGGCTGTAGCTCGCTCTTTTAAATTACAAACAAAATCGCTAAAAATACCTGTAGATATGAATACTCGAGAAAACGGAAGAGGTTCGTTTGTTGTTCTAATAAAGTTTATGTATTGTCTTAATGTGAATAATCCATAATTTAGTTCTATGTTCTAATGTAACTAAATAACAAAGTAAAACATAGCAAGATGTCTTGGTGGCAGAAATAATTGAATCATACATCCGAGTAGACTTTTTTAAACGAGGTTAGTATATAGTAGTGGTTTCATTGACGGATTTTCCCACGGTACTTTATACCTATTAATGTCTGTAGCGCAATAGTTGTGTTCTTGACGAGAGCCACGTAAAAGTACAAGTCTGTGTGTTACATAATACCACATCTAAAACTTGCCAGGTTCTTTCAGGTTTGTTAATGATTAACATTTAAGAAGCTACTAACCATCAGTCCACGAACATTTTTGATCGACAATGTTTCAAATATATGTATCAGAAAACCCGATCTTCCTGTCGTGGGAATATTTTTTTCTCATCTATCCCGGTTTATTAGTAGAATCGTTTAGTTCTAAGCGAGTCTTAATTTTAATTCAATAGAATTCATTCTATCCGGGTGTTGTCGTACGAAAGTACTTTTATCGCAGAGTTATTGTTCTAATTAAAACTCACAACAGGAGGAAGTTGGAAAAGATCGACCCTAAAAATAACACTTCACCTTACCCAACGGATTTTCGTCGCTTATGGTAAGGCTTCTAAAATAAGGAGCTAACTCATTAATTAGTACTCGCATAAAGACCGTATGCGACTGGCCTCAAGAAGTTATCACTTTGGCTCCACAGCTACGCCTCCAGGTTGTCAAAACGACACCCAAACCAGTCTTCTTTACATGTTATTCACATGTCTAATTCACAAGTCAGTGAAGCAACGACGGGAGATGCAGTCCCATGGTACACGGTGACCAACAATAGGTGCATACGGCATTCATCTCCTCAGGATTCTGGAGTCAGCCCATGTATACCGTTGGTTTGGAATCAGGGTTGTTCAACTCCCCTAGATGTACCCCCCATACCCAGCAACCTGGCTAAAACACCGGATACTCGCTTTTCGTCCTCTCACTTTGGTAAACAACACGACCGCTGCGAGAAGGAAGTGAGTAGGACTTCCCTGACAATAGCTGTAATGATGTTGCCATGTGAGAGCATTTCAAGAGGGGGAGCTGACTCTCCCTACCCTTAGCCGTACCAGGGCATTTGGGGGAAATTCAATCAGTGAATCGCTTAGGTACACTTCAGTGGTCAAAACTGAGGTCCATCAGGAAATATCTCAACTGATATCCCGTTACTTGTCAATATGCAAATTCCCTGCACGATCCTTCTCTATTTACAACTTTTGATGCATCTTGGTGAAACATTTTGTTTTAGTGCTTTCAGTATAATATTACAAGTTCTCCTGTAACGGACATCACGCGACAAATTTCTTTCTTCGGACTTTCAGCTTATAAAATATATATCCATATGTCTCAACTGTAGAACAACACACACTACTGCTCTGTAGATTCCAATGTTTCTTCAACGAATGAACAACCTGTTATGACTTTATGTCCGGCTTTTTATCACGTGATCTATCCACCAATCAAAATACGACTTATGCAATCTTCGCGCTGTGCCAAACCAATGACGTTCGATCGGTATGAGCAGCCTAGCGTCCTCATTGGTCCTATGTCCGCCTAGCCCGTCTACTTGAGTCCAGAACAACAATACCAGCTTCCAATATGCGAATCGAATCGAATCATTTATTTCAAACATACTGGGTTTATATATCAACCAAACAGACCGCAACGCACCATAAAATAGGAAATAACATTTGTACACAATAAAGCCAAAAAAGTGGATGTGAACGTGGAAGGCAGTAGTCAATAAACTGAACATAGCTTATGAACAGTAAATCGTACAATAATAAATTACAGGTCAAAATAAGGCTTATAATAAGAGGAATATAAATATACATAATCTAATTATTGAATAGTAATACCATAAGAATATATAAATAATAATAGTCCATTAATATGTCTCAGAAGTTAATCGTGATTTAATCTTCACTCGGATATAACACAACCTAAATTGATATTTTGACACTGATTTAAGAAGTTCAGTTGATCTTTGCCAATTCGCGTCACTTATGGCGTAGGCGAGTTGTCCATCTGCCAACCAAAGGATAAGTTTACTGCTCAGCAGTTCTCTCTGTTGTACTTGATGGACAAAGAAGACAAGAAATTTGTAAGTTACTAATATTGAACCATGAGTGTCTTTGAACCAATGCTCGTATATTTTTGAACTAATGATTGAGCAATTTTGAGGTTTGTGGTCAGGGCATTAGGTAAAGATGTGAACCTTCATCAACTAAGATAGATGTGTTAAGTATCTGCAAACACCTACTTACAGTAATATTGTTTGGTGTAGAAGTAGGCTAGAAGATAAATGATGGCGGTCAAAACAGTATGTAACACCAGTTATTGATCATCGAACTGAGCCATTCAAGTAGGTGTTGGCTACTAATTTTGGGTCCGCGTGACTATCGTGCCCAATGGTTGAAAACCCTAAGTGATGTGACTTCAAATCCACTCTTTGATTTTTCTTAGATCCTGGATTCTGAAATCATCTTATATTTTTCGTTTCCTTTTTTTCTATACTTAATCTCTTCTACTAATGTAACTACCATTACTGATGTTTACTACTTTCACTAACCTGTGACTTGTTTTGATAATTTTATCTCGCTGTACTAGTGTAATGTTGTGGCAACCTGAACCGTTGCACTTATTGCATGTGACTTACTGACAGGTTGATAATCAAAGTGGTATTTCGTACTTTCGTTTTGCCGTCATTCCCATATTTATTATGTTGATTTTCTAAACAGAATTCATTGTAATAGAACCACCAAAATCACACTTTGGCACTGCTCCACTAGGAATGCGTATATTATGTCGTCATCTTAGATCTGGTTTGGAATGGACTCGGACATCTGAATCTCCTAAATTTTTCGAATCACCTAACTGTATAAATCAATCAAATCATCACTCAAGCAGAAATTCAGTATCACCATTACTATCGTACAATTCACGATTCTTTCCATCCAACGATTCATCATCTGTTGTTTTATCAAGTTCAAATGATCGTCGTTATTCGTACGAAAGTTTTAAATTTTCAAATACTTCAACTGAGAATAATACAAATAAATCACCTTATGTATTGTTTTATGTACACGGTGGTGGATTTATTGCTTTAACATCTCAGTCACAGGATGTAAGTCGCATTTGCATCCTTACTATCAAATAATAACATTATACGTATGTTTTGTTGATTAGTACATAAAACCTGTTAAATTGTCTTACTTTCTCTTTATTGTGTTCATAATACTTTTTACTGTCACTGGCTAATTGAAACTACTTAATTGTTAGAAACTTGACAAAACCTTAGTTTAGGTGTCAGAAAATTCAAAGCAGTCAGTTAATCAAATACAACGTGAAACCTAGTACGTATATACATCGGTTTAATTTGCCTTACTCAGCGGTCAATGTATGACAACCTTGATATCAAACATAGATAGCTAATTTGTGCAGGTGCTCATCTGTAACTGTGAACCGTGATTGTCCAGTGAAAACTAGTGATACTACACTGTTGCTGAAACTGAAATAGGCAGAGTGGGTTTAAAATATGTGATTTAGTGGCTGAAATCCGGGCGCACTTACTATTCATCCATTACTTCATCGTAAACATTAACCAGGAAGTCCGCACCTACGAATATATCTCTGATTGACAACAAGTGACCTCACGAACTATTATTTAATTACTTACTTACTTAAGTACAAATATTGGTACAAGGAGGCAGCAAATATGTATGCATCACACAGAACATTCGATTTTTGCGAGGACTAGGATACTGTCTGGGTGCCTAAACCGAAATAAGTGGTTTTCTTAGGAGGCCACTCCCCAAGCCTTTGACCTAGAAGTCTAATTCACAAGTCAGTGAAGCAACGACGGGAGATGCAGTCCCATGGTACACGGTGACCAACAATAGGTGCATACGGCATTCATCCCTCAGGATTCTGGAGTCAGCCCATGTATACCGTTGGTTTGGAATCAGGGTTGTTCAACTCCCCTAGATGTACCCCCCATACCCAGCAACCTGGCTAAACACCGGATACTCGCTTTCGTCCTCTCACTTTGGTAAACAACACGACCGCTGCGAGAAGGAAGTGAGTAGGACTTCCCTGACAATAGCTGCAATGATGTTGCCATGTGAGAGCATTTCAAGAGGGGGAGCTGACTCTCCCCACCCTTAGCCGTAGCATTTGAGGTCCACAGACGTTAAAAAGGATCCTGTTCGATTGTCTCTCTATTTTCTCCAATTCGTTGCTGTACTGGTAGTAACTATTGTGCATCTGGTTCGGCAATGCGTAGAAAGCACAACGAATTTCCGAGCTGTATCAGTTGATAAATATCCATAACATCACTAGCCATTAAATCTTAACCTAGTACCTGGCGTCTAACCTCAGAGTTACTCACTTGGTGACTCCATAATAGGCAGCCAACGTTCATATATATATACTAAGATTATCACTTAGTTGCAGTCTACGTTTATGACTGCATTATCCAGGTAGCATTACTAATAATGTCAAAATTACATATTTTATTGTCAATTATTACTATTTTATTATTTAAACATATAAACATTGGTACAAGGAGGCACCAAATAGATATGCACCATATAAATCATTCGATTTGTATGAAGACTGGGATACGGACCGGGTGCCGAAACCGAAGCGGATATTTTCGTACTCAAACTATCCTGCACTTGTAGATCTGGTAATCTAAACAATGTGATTATGACTTTAAAAAATGAAACAGAACACCTATGCTTTAAACCATTCTAACAACTGTGAAAATTTGACAATGATTACTTACCATTTTTTACAAATAAATTCTCAATTGATTGTATTCATTATATCCGAATGATATCACATACTCAATGCAAATTTTATCCTTATGAAACTGAAAACAAATCTAGTTTTTAAAGTTTATTTTGTTTGTTTTATGATCCGAAATCAACCAAACAAATCGAGATTGTTAACTAATTTCTTTGCTGATCTTTTCTCCATTCAAAATGCTCATTATTTATTTTAAAGATTTTGATTTTTGTTTCTATTATTTTAAAGGGTTTATGTAAGTTGTAGGTTTTTCGTAGGTTTTATCATGGGTTAACCTTAGACAACCATTGGAAACAAGAAAGCACTGAATAACTGTTTGATTGTAGTATGTGATGTGTCGGTAAAAATAAACAAATTTTCTTATGTACTCATTTGGGCCCGTGGTATCATACTGTATGGATCTACTCCGAGTATTGATTAGCTTCCCTAGACTATCTGTCTATCTATCAACAATGACCTTCGGCCAACCAATGACACACTAAATGGGAGGTAAAAACCGAGAGTACCACTAATTGACTATTGGTCCAGACTGCAGTTTCACACTGGCTCTCTCACTCGTCTGACAGCCAGAATAGAGAAGAACTTAACAAGCAAATCACGTCTGATTACTCAGTTTAAAATTACGAGTCACTCACACAACAATATAGGATAGAATCCTGACCACATACCAACGGAATTGAGGAACTGCAATATTGAGGATGACTGAACCATAAGTTGAAGAGGACTGAATGATAAATCTGTGATTGACTAACAATGGTATAGGAAAAGTAAAACATACAACAATGGTTTATACGTCAAACAAAAGCTTATAGGTAGAGCAATACAAGTATATAATACTTTAATTATTGAATAATCATACAGCAAAACTACAAAGAACAATCTCAGATAGGAAGATTCTGGAAGCTAGCTTTTGCTAAATATTTATCCCAACATAGCAGTATGGAACTGCTCGTCAGTGCGCATTCACAACCCAATAAAACAGCTATCTAGTGCTTTTTGGTTTTCAATAGCTGTCTAAGTAAGATCAATCAGTAATGCAATCTAGAATACTTATCTATTTGTATTTTTTTAATGTATTCACGAGGCATTATGTCAATATCTTATTTAATTTTAGAACTTCTTACGTATATGGGCTGAACAGTTGAACTGTCCAATTATAGCTGTTGATTATTCACTTTCACCTGAAGCGCCTTATCCACGTGCATTAGAAGAATGTTATTATGCCTATTGTTGGATAACATTAAATCGTGAAAAATTAGGTTGTACATCAGATGCGAAAATTGTTCTTGCTGGTGATTCTGCTGGTGGGAATCTGGCACTGGGTGTTTGTATGCGCGCTGTACGAGATGGCTTACTTAATAAACCAAGTGGATATTTTTGGCTTATACGCCTGTATTGGTTTCTTTTACACCATCTCCTTCAAGATTATTATCACTTTGTGATCCCCTACTTCCTATTGGTGTTCTTGCTAAGTGTTTATTGGGTAAGCTCACTTTAGTGTATATTTATACATTTGCCAAGTTAACCGTAACTCATTAATCAATCATAGGTTTAATAACTCAGATTCTAGTTACACACGTAATACGAAGTTTATTAATGCTACACGGCTACCTATATCGTTGTAAATTGGAGTTGAGACTACCAAACAGTCACTAATGAGTCTATAGACACATTGTCGTAATTTATTGGCTATCTGTCAGATGGTCATATATTTCTGAATTATAATTTATAATAATAAACAATAAATAAATAATATGGTTCGAATATGATGCTTCTTGAACTATGAAATACACGTTATACATATAGTGCGAGAAATAATATTATTGTTAGTACTGGTATTGTGGCGACATTTTGGTTTAAAACGACTGAATTAATGGTGGAACAAAGTAGCTGAGTGTGTCGGACACTTCACTTTTTTGTAAGTCTCATCAGAACTGGTGGATTAGTGTCTGAAAGGATCTCAGTATGGCTTAATAAAGGCCGATTGAATTTCGCGAATTTACATCTGTGGCGTATCCAAGACCCATCCATTTATCAACTAATGGTGGGAGTATACTGCTCCACAGTTCGTTCTGTTTTACTTGATGATTGTGGAGCATGGCCTTTAAAAATAGAGGATATTTGGTGGTTACTAGTATTTATCGTAACCAATGGTTGTAAGACGCTGGGTGATATTACTCGAAATCAAATTCAATTGCGCAGTTACACCAACTCTTTGTCTTCCTTTAGGTCTTGAGTTTTAAGATTGTGTTATACTATATTAGTCTATATATATATTTTTTCTTCCTGATTCATATCTTGTATGACGTCTTTTCTACAATCACTCATACTGTTACCACTTTTACTACTCTGGTATTTTCTTGATTATTTCTTCTCTCTGTGCTGAGATATTGTGATAAAATTAACCGACCCATACATATGCTAGGTTTTATATTCCTTATGATCGTTTGACTGTGGGGTTAATATATTATGATTACTGTTGTTTTGATGTGAAATCTAACATTTTCCCGGAAATATAGTAAATAATTATAAAATATATTTATTATTAACTTTCTACCCAGTGCTCAATTTATTTGAAATTATCAAGTCCAACCTTGGCATCGATACTTTTAAGTAGATAATTATGTTTCAATCAATCTAATTGACTTATTACTTTATTTTTTATAGCTTATGCTGGTATAGACGAACCAACATTGGATTCTGATGAACTTGATGATGATTTCGAAGTTGATAAAAATCCTTCAAACTTAACAACTGAACCAAATTCCCCAATATGGTCTCGATTATTTTCAACACTTTGGTCTAATCCATCGAAATTAGATTTAAATAGTTCTAAAGAGTTAAAAATTGGACATTTACGTCGATATTCAAACATAACAATGTCTCCTTTATATGATGCTTATTTGCAAAATCCAAAAGATCAATCTGTGCCTTCTAATTTATGTCGGTTAAGTGAAGAATCTCACTCCTCACATAAATCCCCAAAGTTGAATAAATCAGTTCGTTATTTTGCATCTATCGTCTACATTCTGTCTAACGTGTCATTTAGTGTACTAAATATTAAAAAAATACTGTGGTTGCTTCTAAAACTCTGTTCTGATGAAGTTGATAACATTTAATGTAAGATGGTGTTTGGGGATAGTCGATAGGAAGTCCTGGACCTTGGTTTAGTTCTGTTTGACACTTGTCAGCAAGGCGTATATGTAGTCTTCAGAGAAATGAAACTTGCAGATTTAGTCACGTATCACTCAGTTTCATAGTCAGAGGCGTTACCACTGAGCTATTAGAGTCACAACTGAGCTTCTGTAAGACTGAAATGTGCTTACAATTGATTGACCACTGAGTAGTGACCAAAGTCAGTTTGCCTAGTTATTTTTAGCACTAATCTAATTCCTTTGACCAAGCTTCAATGTAGCTAGTTGTTCAAATAACTCGATATCACATGGATTATGTTGGTGTGGAAGATGGTGGTTAGAGGTGATTGACAGGAAACTTTGGACTTAGATTTCGATCAGCGCTAAGTGGGACTTGACATACGCAACTTTAGTTACTATTCAATGATCAGTCAGTCATAAAAGAACACTTGATGTAATAAGTTTAAATAGACTAATCAGTTTGTTTGTATTTTTAATATATATCAGTATTAATAATCAGACAGTACAACAGCTGGACACATTTAATACATAATGGCTACATTGTCGACGTTCTTAAACTTTTCAAAATGATTAACTGACAAAAAGATGTAATTTCATTAGACTTCACTGAAGTAACATCGATTAAAAACATTCAAGGTAAATTCATGAGTTCAGGGAAAAAGTTGCCGATTTTCCACTGTTATATGGTAAATGGGTATTTTTGATTAAATTCCTCATAGTTACTGTTTGCATTATGTTGTACAATCTTCAGTTAACTGATTACCGTTTCATCCCCCTTTAAGTTTTTTAAAAATATTTATATTTCAATATGAGCACAGATGGAAACAGCTGATGAATACCTACGAAACAACACAAAAATGAGTGCATATTATTATGCGTTAATTGTTATCCTTGCTTTATTCAAACTAATAATAAATGTGTTAAACTGGATGATAAAACATTTACGACCAAGTATTGAGGTACAGAAATTGTCTAGCAACTATAATATTCATCATTTGGTAGAAAATATGCTTTGTTTTTTGTAGTTAATTTTGTCAATCAGTACACCTGATTTATATTAATCTAACAGACAATGTTGAATGAAGCACGATGGCTCAGTCATCCAACTTTCAACCATTAGACTGCACACTCAAGTTTTGCTTTACCTACTTCAATTTGGACAACCGGACATCATTAGCCATACAATTCCAAATCAAGTAGGCCAGCCTGTACTTGATAAGTTACCTCACCAAGAATTTCGATTAATCGTACAGTGGTTACCTAAAAGAATTCATTACACTTATATTTTGTCCCGTATAACTTAGATGCTTTTTTTGATCTTCATACGTATTCCTTACAAGTGAATTTTCTCATGTTTTCATAATTCACGAAGAGAAGGAAAAAAGCCCAGACCATAATGAGGATGAATGTACACCAATATTGAAGCATCCACATCGACCCCGAACTGATTTGAACCGTATTCGAAATATTCATTTAACTCAGAATGGATTCATGTCACCGTACTTAGCGTCAGATGATATGCTACGTGGATTACCTCCTGTTGTTTTTGTCGTAAGTGGAGTGGGTTTTTGTGTGCATGCATGTGTGTTCCTATGAAGGCAAGAAAATGATTGAAGTATATATGTTTTTTCTGGAAATAATTAACCTAATTATCCTTAAAAAAAGTAGAATTTAATATCTGTTATGACTGCAAATTGATAGATATCTAGAAAGAAAATTTGACAATCAGTGTCCTGTTTATCAACCTCGTGTTTACTAATTTATCTGTAGCCTAGCAACCTAAAATTCGATCAATAATAAGTATTGATTGGCAATATTAACCCTGAACCGAGGCCTAGATAATCTTAATTCCTATTGCTCCACCGATACGCACGCCTTGTTCTATCCTCAGTTTTCAGTCCGAACACGAGAACACATCAGACAAGCTTCTATTATCATATTGTGGGGTACCCTGTGTATTAATCTCAGACACTCGTTAACATGAACTTTCAGACCACCGCTGAACCAAAATATAAAATCTTACTTTACATACAATCATACCATAAGTACCAAAGAACGGAACAAACTCTAAATGATTAGGACTGATTAAGAAATATTAAATCGTAAAACAGTAATTGATGAGTACAACGAAAGCTGGCAATACTGGGAATGTAGAAATGCAATAATCTTATTACCTAATAATTACATGATAAAAATGTAAACAACAATAATAATAGTCCGTAAAATAGTTCCGAAAGTTATAACAATCTCGGTATTTGCTGCTTCATAACAATATGGTATTCGAAAATCTGTAGTGTAGTTCAGTGTTAATAAGATTGATACACCAGAAACATCAGAACGAATACTTCGTCTTTAAATTTGTTTCATATAAACCACTAAGTAATTACAGGTACTTGTACGTATAGCTTTAAGCCGTAGTTCGTGTAAACGTTAGTAACACTGTACACGTCTACTTAAAATATAGTAGAGGAGGTGGGATTCTATTTATTTGTTTTATTTGTTTGAACAAAAATATTGGTAAAAGAGGGCTCCACACCAAACAATAAGAATTCGAAGAGAGAAAAAAGAACAATAACGAACAGATTAGTGTAAGGTAGTGTAATAATAATAATAATAATAGTGGGGGAAACAGAAACGTACAGTCAGAAGAGATCTTTTATTTAAGGAAGAAGCAACCACTTTTTTTATGAAGAAAGTAAAAGAAGGTTACAGCAGGATCGCTACTGGCTTCTATTCTGAGCCATATCTGATAACGTCTCTAGCCACTGTGTAGCACCATCTCTAGGACCCCCGCCAGGGAGTCGTGAAGGACCAACACAAGCCAGTCCTTTGCAGCTTTCTTTCATGCCACGACACCATGTCATGCACTGACCACCTCTCCGCTTCTTCCAACCAGTCCCAGAGTGGGCAAATAACGCACGACGTGGAATTCTCTGGGACGACATTCATAGAACATGTCCAAGCCACCGAAGTCGGTGTTTCAAGATGGTGACACCGACTGCATTATCGTCTTCGTGCCAGAACACACGATGCCGAACCTCTGCATTACTAACATGTTGTTGCCACTGGATGTCAGCAATCCTTCGGAGACAACGATGATCGAACACAGAAAGTCGTCCAACGTCCTCAACTCGGAGAGACCAGGTTTCACAAGCATAGAGCAAAACTGCTCTCACCGACGCATTGTAGATCCGACCTTTTACAGCCAGACTAAAATCACGAAGGTGCTAAAGATGTCCCAGATTGGCATAAGCCGCTCTGGCTTTCACTATACGTGCATTGATCTCATCACTCACGCCACCAACAGCACTTATGCAGCTACCTAGATTCTAACCCACCAACAAGTAGTTGGAACCTGTTTGAAAATGAAATTTACCGAACGTTTATCCATGTTATTGTCGTTGAGCCACATTATTTGTAAAGGCTAGTGACACTACTTGGTTGTCCAAACCAAAGTAGATCAAGCGAGACTTGAACCTGTGAAATAGTAGTCAAAAGTCTAGTACGTTAACCTCTAAGGCCATCCTTTGAGTTATTTGATATTAAAACTATCATTCAACGTAACCAATATTTGCCTTATATATGATTATATGTTGAATATCATTATATATATATATATAAATCTTTGTTTCTCTTCTCTAGTGTTCACAATTCGACCCATTTTTGGATGATGGACTAGAGTTAGCTAAACGTCTTTCTAAACTTGATGTCTCAGTAGATGTACGTGTCTTAGACAATTTACCTCATGCATTTCTTAATTTTTGTCTATTGGGTCCAGAATTCCAAATTGCTAATAAGATTTGTATTGAATTAGTAAAAAATTTATTCAATGAATATTATATAAAAAATAATGAATAATTTATTACTAAAATACTGATTATCTATGCGCCTCAATTTCTTTCCCTTGTTATCATACTACTTAGTACTTTTCATATTAATAGTAGCTGTGATATCCAATGTTATCTCATTTCATTTTTTATTCTCTTCCTTTTTCACATCAAATAATCATACAACTTTTATTTACGCTTCATCATCATCATAAATTGGATTGTCTATTCTCATTTTCAATTTGTACATTCGATTCATGTACATACCCCATATATAACAAGCACATCAACAACACCCATGTTTATTGTGTCCTTTCATTTCTCTTTCTTTTTGACTTTATCACTTCTGTAATGCAAATAATTTCAGTTATTTTGTATGTATGTATGTATGTGTACCTTTTACAGATTCATTATTATTGTTATCGTTATTATTATTTTGTTAAGTAATTTATCACCAGATTACTTATTTTTTGTTTTTAAACCTCATTCTTAGTTATTTTGTTGTTTTTGTTTCTCTAGTTTATTTCCTCTTTTATCGTTTGTTTTCTCTTTGTTTTTCTCCTTTGTATGTATATTGTTAATATACATTATTATTATGTTATTATTACAAGTACTACTCATCGCCTTTCAAACGTAGCCACTTTGTTCAAATATGTTATTTTGCTTTACCCTTTTATCTTATTGTTGCATATTATTTATTTATTTTGTTTGAACTATTCTAAATCATGATTTAGAAGTTGAATAAAAACGCTAGTTGAAGTTAGACATTAACACCGTTGGATTCCGCCTCAGTGGTCTAATGGTTAAGCGCTCGCGCGCGAGACTGTTAGGTCCTGGGTTCGGATCTCGCGGGGGGATCGTGGATGCGCACTGCTGAGGAGTCCTACACTAGGACGAAACGGCCATCCAGTGCTTCCAAGTTTTCCATGGTGATCTAGCTTCAATTGACTCGTGATTTCAACCATTGAAAAGCGCTAACATCATTTAATTGAGAGAAAAAAGATCGTATCATAATCTCTTATATTATTGAATAAATTTATTTCTTATTTTGTTCTTTCGATCAATGTCTCAGATTCATTGTAAATTATCATGATCATTGAATGATAGTTTTATCTTTTTGATTTTATTTAATCTTAAATAATATGGATCTTATCCTTCAATATCCTATACGCAAATACTTTACATGATTATAAGTTATATTGTTGCGCTAAAATTGACGATTCTTCCTACTTATTGAAATTTTATTAATTAAATGAAAATATACTCTATCTTCATTGATTGTCATCTTTTATATGGATTAGGTATATGTGAATTAGTATCAGAGGGGGTTTTTGTGGAGATTGTAATAATTTCAGTAGTTGAGATCATGAGTTAATTGAAGCTAGACCACGATGGAAAGCCTGGAAGCACTGGACAGCCGTTTCGTTTTGTTGTGGGACTCCTCAATTGTGAGGTAGTAACTCACAGATGACAATGGTGAATGTGTCGCTCAATTTCGTGGATCAGTTGAAGTTAGACATTAACACCGTTGAATACTGACTGGCTCAGTGGTCTAGTGGTTAAGCGGTCGCGCGCGAAACTGATAGATCCTGGGTTCGAATCTCGCGAGGCGCATTGATGAAGAGTCCCACAATAGAACGAAATGACCGTTCAGTGCTTCCAGGTTTTCCATGGTGATCTAGCTTCAGTTGACTCATGATCTCAACTATACGTGAATCGTTTGGTCGTTAGTGATGATAAAATCCTATTTGGATAATTTTATTGAAATCACGAGTTAGTTTAATTTAGGCAAGTAATAGATGACTGTTTGGTCTTAGTATGGGACTACTCAGTAGTGCTCATCCACAATCAGGAATCGAATCTAGAACTTTCAGTCTCGTTCACGAATGCTTAAGCTGTAGACTAGTGAGTCAGGATCCAGTGGTCTAACTTTAATCACCGCACGATATTGCACAACCTTCTTGCAGTATCTTTGGTAGGCAACTGCTTCACATCCAACACGGTTTAGCTTCATTGGTCTAACTTGAATCAGTTCGTGATTCAAATGGGATTTAACATTCTTCACAACCATGTTGAACGATAATTTAGTTACTTTTTAAATACATGTTTAGCTATATAGTTGTATCATACTGGCATCGGTTAGATAGAGTTTTAGTTTCAAGTATATGGCATTCATTTTAAATGAAATAAGTAGTAAATCAAGGTTGCAGTAGCGGTTGCTTTTATTGAGATTTTCCTAGCCAGTGATAATCGGTCAGTCAAACATAAGTGGGATAGAACTTGCCCTATGTATACATCAAATTGGGCTATCACACCATATCAGTACAGCTAAATGAAGTTATTACGATGAACACCAAATAAAAAATTGTATCAGTCCTAGTAAGAAAGATAAAGCATGAATAATATAATTTAGGAGGAATGAATAAGTTTGTGGTGTGAAAGTTATAAAATAATTCCAAAATTCTGAATCTAACTAAAGATAAGGAGTGGATGCGTCTGAGCTACTGCAACCGGTTCTAAAAAATATTACCCAAAGTGTTCGACCATTGGTCACAGTAATTGCGCGAACTGCAATGAAGTGGTCTGAACTTAACAACATGACTCAAATCATTAGTTAGTAACTCCATAATCTGACGTCACATTTTTGTTCGCTTCCTCCTACCTTTCAACCCACTACACTAGTGCATAATGTAGTCATTGATTGTTCATGCGTAATACATGTCACAATCTATAAAGATTTACAGTCTTATCGGCTGATTCGTTATCCTTACCCTGAATTTCCAAAGTTTTTGCGTCTATCGAATGACAAAAATTACCACAGATAAACAGATTTCTCAAAATAATAAAGGCGATACTCTGATAGACTTGGTACTTAGCGTTCGACATGAAAATGATGTTATTAAGTGATCTAATACTGAAATGGTAGAAAAGATTTGTGGTCTAGATGGATACTGATGTGTGAGTTGATTTGTCTAAAATAGGTGGTTGGATTTTGTAGTTATCATGGTCACTTTAGATAACAATATCAGCTTTTGGTTCTACATAACCAAAATGTGTTCTTATTATTGAAGTATAAAGGGTAGTCAGTTTTTTTTAGCTAAATTCATAACAACTTTGAAATGAGAGTTATATATATATATATATATATATATATATATATATATATATATATATCACGAGTTGTTGTAGGGCTGTGACATCACAGTAAGATAAGACTATTCTCTGTTCCAATGATATCACTATCACGTTGATAAGACCGGTGACCGAGATATTACCACTATACTAGATCATTGATCGATAAACTTTACGAAGATTATATCATAGATGAGATACACATTTGACCAAAACAAACTAACAGAGTATGAGCTAGATACTTCATCAAACACCGTTACCAGCAGTCTACACTCAGTGAGTATAAAGTAGAAAATAATCGTAGGTACGGAATCATATATTAGATAGTCATCAAACTGAATTTCTGTCTGTTCGCACCCAATGGCCAGTCAGACCATAATTTCAATCACCACCCATCATCAAGAAGTTAACCTCTTTGTGTCACTGAGCTAAAAGCCTTATATTTTAAAGAAAAAAAACTTACTACCGGAAATGATTATTTATAAGTCAGATTACCTGTAATCGTCTCCATCAGTAGATGGAATTTCATTTAAGTATATAATTAATGAAATGAAAAATAAGCATGAATGTCTAAGATTCGAATTTGTGTAGAAGAAATGTAGTTGACGTTCAAAACAATATTTTTTACTGGAAAACGATAGAGTGGTTTTAAGACTAGTCATCTTACCAACAATGGCAAGTAACTTTCTGAAAAAAATTGAAGAAAGCTTCTTGAACTAAAAAAATTAATAGGTGAGATCATATGTCAATTGAAGCTAGATCACCATGGAAAACTTAGAAGCACTGGACGGCCATTTCGTTCTATTGGGGGACTCCTCATGAGTGCGCATCCGCGATCCCACCTCGCGAGACTCGAACCCAGGACGTATCAATGTCGCGCGTGAACGCCTAACCACTAGACCACTGAGCTGGCCGGCATCCAACGGTTTATGTCTAACTTCAAATAATCCACGAAATTGAGCGACAAATCCACCATTGTCATCAGTGAGTTACTATCTCACAACAGACTCGGTTGGACTCCACTGGTCACTACTTCTCACTAGAACTTCAGGATATGCCTCTTGAAACAGGCAAAACCACCACAAAGTGAATTGAAATTCATATCTGGTGCACAAGTAAGTGGCTCTCTGAACTCAGTAGTTGACTAAATAAAGTGTTGGAGTTTAAAACGAATGCCACTGGGCTTAAATCTCAGGTTGAACATTAACTCTATGACACATATACATCCAACAGACAAATCGAAAACAGGATCGGATGCAAATCTTGGATTACGCATCTAGCCACGTTCTATCTATTCTTCATAAGTATAACATATGTTCTGAAATGTTTTTTTCGTTCTGCAGTATTGTAGTGTCAGTCATTATTTTAAGCCCATAATATACCTTATTCTAGTTTTTGGACAAACCAATCTATTCATTCTACTTGAGTCATATTTTGACCTTGTTAATTATTCGCTTATCAATCTTCACTGTTTTTATATGAGCGTATATGTGTGTACATTTCATATCCCATGTCTCATCACATGTCTGTAGTTTATTTTGTCTGCCTATAAATATTGAGTAACGCCTGGCTAGAAATGGAGTTGGCTTACCAGCCATCTCCCTTGCTCGTCCTTTTTACTGTGTTCTATCGCATTCACTTTACATGCAAAATATATGTATATGAAAGTCCATTTTCGTTATTTGACTTATCTAAATCCGTTATTGACTAACGCGATTAAAGTCGATGATTATATACGAGGATAGGTGACAACTAATATTCATACGATCTAAATGGAGTCCGTCAATACAATAATGAGACTAGTCACGTTATATCAGATCTAGAATTCACGACCTAGAATAGAGAACTAAATTAACACTAAATAATACTTTATTCAACACTATTACTAGCAGTAGAAAT